TTACTTAGCCAAGTTCCATTGAAATCGGTGCATTCGTTGAGGCGCTGCAGTCTATACCACTACCGGCTTTTCGACCGCCATCTTTAATGGAATGGGCGGATAGTAATGTAGTGGTAGGAGGATCATCGATTCCTAATTTGAAAAAAAAAAATAGGTCCAGTAGTTTAGGAGAAAAGCCGCGGACGACGAACGAAAAAAATATTCGATTTTCAAGTTTTACGTATTTTAAAACGTAAAACTTCAAATTTTGAGGAGGGGGGAGGGATTAAGTTGTTGAATGTTTTGGTCGATTACAATAGTTCATTATTGAAAACAATAAACCAAAAGTAAATGTAATTTATTATGAGAGGGAGGAATTAATTTTCTTTTCCGTTTCCGATTGTAATGACTCTTTTAAATAATAAACAAAAAATGTTTATAAATTATGGCTGTAATTTGTACACGCTTTCCTAAAAATGGTCAAACTTCGATAATTTTATTTTTCGTTTTGTATGAAATTCGAAAGCCTTTCAAACTATCATGGATACATAACCATAAGTTGTATACTTTTTGAGTTTCCATTCTTTATAAGTTTTTTTCTGAGAGATGTGTTTAGTTGTCTCCTAAAGGAGAATATACCCTCATAATGATGATTCAATCATTATTATTGGATGTGATGAATTATTAACGAATAGATGGCTTACCGACAAAAAACACTTTTGAAAAATAATAAATACATGTGGTATGAAACGAAAATCCTGTAGAATTATCTGTTTTTTAAATGCAACTTACCTTAACAATCGAAACACCAAATAAGCACATTGCCCACATGCCGCCATGATATGTTAGGTTTGTGATTAATGAGAATGCTGTGCACAATTCTTGTGCATGCCTTAAAATATAAAAAATAAATAAAATTATTTACTTTTATATTTTTTGCAAACTTCGAAACATATTTAATTGTTATTTTATATAAACATACCCATATAATTTCTGATAATGGATGATACAACTGTTAACTTCTTTCGTCAGCATATCAGTGTATATTATGTCCCAGCTGCTACTATCAGTAATATTAATTTTTTTCATCATTATTCTTACTCGTCTTTCACTCGTTTGACATGCTCTCCCGATAAGTTTCATTTGATAAGAGATGGTGATAGATACGGTCATCAGATATGAACAAAGTCGGCCAAAAGTGAAGAAAGCGAACCATATAGTCAGCAATTGGAGAAAAGATGCAGTAAAAAATCCCAAAAATCCATCAATGGAAAATGGTGTCCACATCGGGAGGATTAGTTTATTCACAGGTTTCATTTTTTCCATTGCTATAAATTTTTTTTGAAAAGGCAGTACTCCACAACAGACAGCAGCCGTGTACATAGCTACGGGTATTATTCATTTGTAATGATAATAAATAGGAGCTCCATTATAACTAAATAATGATTTAAAATTACATAAATCAATACGTTAAACTATAAAATATTTAGGTTATTATCAGAATGCTTCAACCCAATATCTTTCTTCAATATCTTCAACCCAATGTCTTTCTCAAATATAAGTTAAAAAATTACGGTAGTAATTAAATTTAAAAAAAAAAATAAGATAAAACTATTCAGTAAAGTTTTTCGTGATTTGTGTTGGATTCTTTAGCCTTAAGAGATAATAGCCTGCTCTGACATTCCTCGTGATTGTACAAATAATCAATGCGAGGCATTTATGACACCAATCACTTGGAATGCAGCAATTGCATAGACAGTTATCTCCACTTGTGGAGCCAGGATTTAATTTTGGAGGGAGGCTTCAGCCCGAAAGAGAATTTTGAATCTGTATTAAATGTAAATGTAACACGAACAATAATACTTTTAGAGATAAGTTCTAAATATTTTTGTGGTTATATTTTACAATTTTGGGAGGGCTTCAGCCCGAAAGCTTTCGGAGGGAGGGGAAGGGCCCCCTCCTTGTAAATCCACCTGTGATTATCTCTTAAGACATGCTTTCCTGTGTTTGCGGCCTATCCGTTATACGGTCGGTATTTGGGCATAAATCTAGGGAGCTTACAGAAAGCGCAATATAAGCACTAGTTTTTATTGAAAACCCAACAGATAGTAGCGTGTCTGCTCTATTTTTTTTTTTCATTTATACATATGATTTACTTTGAATATAGAAAATTGCAATGATCGGGAACATAGGTAGTTCTAAATAGAGCATTATATACAGAGAGTACCGGCCTTAGACATTTCGCCCCCCTGGGTAATGAAATCATTTCCCTAGCTAAAAAATGTATTTATTTCTTAAGCTGTTTTATATTGCATAATATTTGAATTTTATACCATTCAATATTTCTCTAATATGGCTCTGAACTTTTATTAAGAACCTAAATTAATTATTTCTATGTGTATATCTTTTTAATTCTTATTAAGTGGGGAGCTAGGTTGCCACACCGGAGCAAATGCCCGACCCTAAAGCTGGTGCATGCAGCATATAGATATTGAATAGGATAGCTTTACGAGGGTGCTGTTGGATTTAGGTCACTGGTGGATGTACGGGGAGGTGGGATAGAAAAATATATTTTTTTATCATTGGTCCATATTTGTTTCTGTGAGTGATCTGGGCTTAATGTGGGTTGGATGGCCGAACGGGCACATAAGATTATTTCGGGGTGCATAGCACCGCCGATTTTCTTTTCTTATTTTTCTTCTGTTCTTCCCTACCTCGACTTTTAGGCAATACGGGTTTTTCCCTGGCCGGAGGGTGACGGCGGGGAATATAAAATCCCTCCTGATACCGGGACGTGAACTCGTACTTTTTTTTTAACTCATATTCAGGTCATCTGGTTGCCGGGCAACTCGCGGTGCTGTGCACACGGGTTAACCCATTTGGCCACTCTGCCCCCTCATGAATTTCAAGGAACATCATTAAAAAGTTTTTTATAAACTGTTTTTAATTTAATTTTTTTCCTTTTTTTTTTTAACTAGCCTTCAAGGACTACTTATAAATCATTGGATATATTTATTTTTTATTTTTCTTTCAGAGTAATTACCGTTTTAGAAAAGAAGCAGAAATAAAAAAAAATACCCTTTCCCAAATTAAATTCCTAACCTTTCACTGATTGAGTTTGAGATGAAGTTGTGACAGAAGCTTTTTCGGAAGATAATTTCTGAATAATGTAAATTATTTCTGAAAGATTGAACACTTTAGAAGGACAGGAAAATCAGAAAAGGGTCATAATCCTGCTTCAATATGTCCAACAGGGAGTGGAATGTCCGAGGAGTTTTGAAAAATATTCACCAAATAGTTCATATTTTTCTGTGTCGAGTCTTGACCAAATCTATGATTCAGTGAGCAGTGGACAGTTCAAAGTTTTGAAATTTAGTAGCTTTTAAATTACCCATCATGATTTTGGAAGTTAAGTTTTCAATAAAACTTTCGAACTGCTGCAGTTTGAATTTTCTATTTTGTTTTGTTAGTTTAATCGCTTTTGCACTGCGTCTTTTTGTTATTTTGTTATAATAAGATTTATGGTGGCAAGTTGGTGCCACAGGAATATCTAATTTATGGTGGTTTCTATTGATCTTTTGAGTTACACAGAAGTGACATCAACCTTTAGTTTTAATTTTGGGATAATTTTTAAATTCAATTTGTTATTTAGATCATGGCGAATTTGTCAAGTTTCTCATCCTGAAATGGGTATTGGAGGAGAGAACTTAGAAACTGGATTTGACTGCATAAGAAGCAGAACCGGGCTTTGATCTAATGAAAGGTCATCGAAGGGTTTTATCGCTGATTGAAAGGAGGGTATCTGAGTAGTAGTTAATAGATCAAGGATATCGCGACGTAATCTAAGTTATTAAGTATTGAAAATGTAAAAAGTCCGAAACTTAATATTAGGTAAAGTAATGGAATTTTTTCGAGGAGACTGGTGAAGCAAGAGTACTCTAATTCCGCAAAGTAGCTTACACATCAGTTGCAATTAATTAAAATAAACACTTTTTCATAAACAAAATTGTATCATTATTGTTATTTTTTGTTTCCTCACTACGAAAGGTAGGTAAGCGTTATATATGTGCTGGAGATTAAACTTTTTTTTCATTTTATTTATGTTTCAGGCATTAAAGGTCAAATTTGATTCGGTGTATGTTTGTCTGTCTGTGGTCAAATCGATGTGAGGGGCATATCACCTATTACTCGATTTTTGCAGGCTGGTACCTTGATGGTCCATTATCAATTTATCAAATCCCGTCCCATATTTTCGCTTACGCATGCCAAAATGTATTTTCTTAGATATGCCAATATTTAAGAAACGAGCCGTTCGTTTACGCTCAAAGGTGGATATTGCTAAAGAAAAATGACGCTGTGTCAATTTTATTGAATTCTATCTGTTTTATCATGAATAAGTACTTATTTATAAAATTCTAACTATCTTCTTTCTTAAATAAGCGGAATCTTACTTTTTCTTGACGCGCCAATATTTCAAAAACCGCACGTTCAATTTGGCCCAACTGTCAAAAAATACTTCCTCTTTCGGATCTATAAAGGTATCGTTATTGATTTGCCCATGGCCTGAAACGGATAGTTCGGTTTGACCCAAGTTGGAGGAAATCTGGAGGACAGTGGACAAATTACTTTGTTTTTGAATTTCAATGTTTCAATGTTTTTGAATTTGAATTAAAAATAAACATAAATAATTGCTAAGAATATTATGGCTGTGGAATATGGAAGGTGTTGATCATATGGATGGAAAGCAAGGTTAAGTTCATAATATTTTTTTATATGTTATAGAATTTTGGACTACATTCAAAATGATAATTTAAACTGACGATTACATCTTACTGTTGTTACTTAGATTTCAAATAATTTTCACTGATTGAGAGGGTTGAAGCATAGAATGTTAGATGTTATTAATATTTTGTTACGTTTATTATTAAAACAAGATAAAATGTCTAATGATTAATGGAATTATTTAAGAATTTTTGAAATTTAGATTATTTTATTTGAAAAATATTTATTAATAGCTGAATTTAGTTGACTTTACCAGCGAAGTAGTACCAGTTGAAGCGGTCCATCCAAGCAGCTGCCTCTCTTTTCAATTCCTCAGTTTCTGCTTCCAGGAGCGGATAATTCCACCAGCTGTCAACTTGGTCGCTCAGGTTCCTTATACGCTCCCGGTGCCAGATGACAGTTATGGAACAGACGATGGGAGTGATGAGGGTGATGTAGAAGCAGAACTGCTCGATCCATTTAGTCTTCCAGAAGTCGATGAGGGACTGGAGGAGGCAAGAGATCATGACGATGGTACTAATCAGGAGGATGAACTCGATCGGTATCGCGAGGCGGGTCTTCTTCTTGTAGACCGTCAGGCCGTACAGGAAATGGTGTGCGGTGTTGAACACATACCCTGCATCCTCTGGTTTTTTTCTTTAAAAAAAAAAACGTCCATTTAAAGAGAAAATGGATTTAGCTATCTTTAGATACAAATAGGGGTGTTTTTAAAATTTGAAACTATTAAAAGAAAAAATATATGTAAGACAATGAAAGTATATCTTAGACACTAATTCCTCTAAGAATAATGTTGTAGAGATTTATTTAAGTTTAGCCCGATATGATTCTAGTTCTAAATTACTGTAACGGCCCGATCTATGAACAGTTTTCAGCTCTGTATCTACCTCGAAGTGTGGTAGGTTGTCTTGCGCGAGCATCGAATCTAGGTACACAAGTTCTGTTACCTTCTCAAACTTATACTGGCTGAAGATAGTCTTCCCTTTTGGAGGTGGAATCTCCTTCACTCACTCTAATTTATATTTAGTCTTCATGTCATTGAACTCGAGCCCAATCCTTCAGCAACCAAGGCCAGAAAATATTTGTCCCGATGTTTCGGCCTAAGTTTTACTACTAAACAAAGACCAAATAACTGATAAATGCTGAGAAATTAGTAGACAGCAATAATAATAATATGTAGATAAAATATTAATTAGTTAAACTTAACATAAATAAATATGTGGAATGAGAAATTGATTTTTTTTTTTCCAATTCTTCATTGAGAAATATAGCCATCTATCACATCTAATGACAATAGTAATAGTGATAAAATAGTAAATCATTCACACTTTATGTACTATAAATAATAATAAATAAACAGCACAGTAATAATACTAAAAATAAATGTATATAAACACAACTAAAATAAACTAAATTAAAATAAAAAAAAAAGACCAATTAAAATAACTACTTAAATACACACATGCTTTTATACAATATTTTTAATTTAGGAAGTTTTTAAGTAGCAGTAGCAAAGCTGGAACTGTTATTATCTACCGTTATTTTATAAGTTCCAGGTTTGTTACCGCTACTTTATAACTACCTAAATTTATTTATCGTCGGCACCACTTTAAAGTAACAAATATGAAAAATTCCATTTTCAATTCCGTTCTTTTATTGTTGTACTCCGAGCCCCATCTTGTGGCAAAATGTCGAATCTGAACGGAATGGAAGATCGAAATCTATAATATCATTTTTACGAATTTATAACTTTGTTAGATATGTACATGTTGCATTTCACGAATAATCATGAACGAAAGTTTACCGTGGGCAGATTCACATCCGTTAATTTATTGTGCCCACAATATCATATATTTCCCATTCCACTTATTTATTTATATTAGGTTTAACTACCTACATGTTATTATAATACACTATTTTATCTACATATTATTACTATTACTTTCTAATATTTTCTCAATATTTATATGTTATCTGGTCTTTGCTTAGCTCTCTATTAGATATATCCGTGGCATTATTTTATATAGACATATGTATATGTAACTATGTAATTTTTCAAAAAGTACATTTCAACCCAACAAACAAAATAGTGTTAGTTCATTTCGGTATCTTCATCTGTAAAATAAGATTGATTCCCATTTGATGTAATTTAAGGAATTATTAGATAATTATTGATCCATGCCTATTGAATTTTATTCTTGGAAGTTACCAGATAATCTTTGGAATTCCCTTGAAGCCAAATCCCCCCGGAAAGTTAGCGATGTTGAACTGATATTGACCGACTGGTTTCGAAACCGGTCCAAAACCGACATAAGGAAAAAACCTCCAAGATTGCACTTCTGCGAACAATCACACCATTTATAATCCCGGTCGGTGGCGCTGACCTTTGATTAATTATATGTCAAATTTATTTTAGCCTGTTAATAATACCGAAAAAGTCCTTCAGAATGAAATATCGAGAAGGAATCGATGTCTTTAGAGCCTCAGAGTAAAATAAGAATGACCGAAAAAATAAAATAATAAATTATAAAATAAATTTAATATTAATTTAAAAATGATACATACATGAAATAATAGTAATAAAAAAATGGACATTTTTTTATTGACATGAGAACAATTGACACGTATTCATGGACATAGGAACATATTTATATTGAATTTACAGAAATACCTATTTATAATTTTTCAGGAACTGAGTGGAACTGATTGAGGTGGCAGGATTTAAAGGTGGAGAAGGTATTGTACCGATAGATGTAGGAAGCGATGGAATCAGATAGGAACAATGATCAGAGATCAATTAGGGACAATGATCTGTTGAAAGTTGTGGTTCGGTGAACCGTTGTATATAAATAAATGCCAATGATTACCAATCATTCCAACCTTCTGAGATGGCTGAGGCTATCCGAAAGCTACAAGAGGATACTTACTGTATCAACAAATGGGCAGAAATAGATGAGTTAAAGCTGAATGCAGATAAAACTAAGGCTATTCACATCAGATCCAGACATCTCATTAATTTCCTTCCTTACTTTCCTCTACTTTATATCAATTACCATCCCATCCATTTTCCTTACAGTCAAAAACATAGAAGTTACTTTTGGCCAGAACCTCTCCTGGAATAATCATATCTCCCAAATTACACGAAAATTCATAATTGTCGTTTAAACGACTCCTAAGATTCTGTGACTGACTATATTACTATAAAAACCAGACAGCTGCTTGTAACCTCCCTTATATTCCCTCACTTCGAGGAGGGCTGCTTGGTGTATGGAGGATTATCTGCCAGACTAGAAATGAGACTGAAGAAATTCATGAACTGTTTCATAAAATACATCTTCGGGAACCCCAGGCGTTGTCATGTTTCATCCAGGTACAACGAGTTGAAGTAGCTTTGTCCTAATTCCCGACGACAATTCCTCCTTGATGTTTTCCTTTTCCAAATCCTAAGAACAAAAAATCCTCCTTACAACCAAGAACTCCCAACCCTACGTTCCTCAATTCACTCTCTTAATACCACGTCTCAACCTACAGAATTATACATTCCCTCCCATAAAACTACTTTCTTCAGCAAATCCTTCGCCATTCGTGCTATCTCCTTTTGGAACTCTCTTCCTACCTCCATACGTCAATCCTCGTCCACAAATTCCTTCAAACAATTCCTGTTCCACCACCTACTCCACATCAAAACTTCCACAATCATGTAAAATAACTTCCATCTGTATACTGTATAATTCAATCAATTACACAATTGCGATACCCAATCAACAGTTAATTAGTTTGTATTTTGTATTATTCTAAGCCAGACTAAGATTCATAAATTAGTAACTCTGTTATTATTCTTAGGGGACTATAGTCCCAGAATATAATTATTTTATTATTTTTTTTAACCCAATAGGCTTGCTTTATTTCCAACTTTAATATGTTTTAATCATGGTATCACAGAAGATAACTTTTCTGTTATTAATTAGAAATTCATTTATGAATAATGAATCAATATTTTTAATTATGTTATAAATATGTATTGGACATTTATTATCCTTTTTGTTTTTTGTAAGATAATGTAACTGCGTGTCGATCCTACCTTTCTTTAACACTAATTTGACAATTTCTTTTACAAACTTCAAATCTTCCAATTTGTCTATATGTGCTGATAATTCTTCCACAATTTTACTGTATTTAATAATATGGTGACTTTCCTCTTCCATATCGTACATAGTTTTTATATAATCTTCCATTTTTAATTAATTAATAAAATTAATTAATTAAAAATGGACCCCTCTCACATCCTCTCCATGCTTCAATTCATTTTTATTTTTTTCGACGACGTTTGAGACAATTTCGTCCATTTTCAAGTCGAAATATTTATATGGATACCATATCCTCTATGTAATATTATTTTTATATAATTGTTATAAAATCTTTCTTCGTTCATATTCTCAAATTCTTCTGATATTAATTCCATAACTATTTATAAAAAGTCAATTCTTTGGACTCGTCACACAAGTTAAATATTTTTTTTTTATATTTCCATCAAATGCTATACATTTTTGTCATATATATTTAATAGCTTTATGTTCACTGTCTGAATATTGATTCTTTATTCATAAATTTATAAAATAAAGTTACCTTCTGTGATACCATTATTTTTTCATTTCATTTTATTTCATAATTTTGAAAACAAAGAACGGATATTACGGAAATAAACAGAGTATTTATTTGAAGTTGCTAGGAGATATATGATGGTCGGTGAGATTGGATAACTTGGAAGAGAAAAAATACCAAGAAATATTTCATCGTAACGGTAGAAAGGATGTAGGCACTCTTCATAAAGTCAGAAGACAAAGGAATCCCTTGGTGTATTGAATCGTACAAAGCAATTATCGAACTGTTTAATTTTGCCTCGAGATACGCAGAGGTGGAGTATATAAATTTATGGGGCTATGTCCACCATACAAAAGGAGTTAAACTGGAGAAATATTATGGAAGAAATCAAGAACGTTCGGGTTATCTATGGAAACCGGTCGGCGTAGCGCCCATGGTATCTAATAATATAAAATAAAATTAATAACATAAATAAAATAATAAAATGTATTGCAAATAAAGTTATAATGAATTGTATAACTAAACATTATGTATAAAGAAAAGCCTACCATATTCTTGCCATTTCATTTAAATTTTTTCCACCGCCAATTTAAAATAACTTTTTTACAAAGCTAAAGAGATATGTCTTCCGATTCGAATCGTTGCTAAATAACATTATTTATAGAATAAATATCATTAGAGATGAAACATAATATTCAAAACATCACTGGCTAAGTCAGAAATTATTCGAACACTTTCGCAGGTTTTTAGGAAAATGTTATTGTTAACCTGTGTCAAATGCTTTATAAAAATCTGAACGGATGGCGATAGTTAGTTTTTGATGTTTAATAGAGTTGTGGAAGCCATGGACAAATGACAAGGGGATGATCATTGCGAGCATCTGGAATAACCGGGAGGAAACTGAGGTTATAGGAATCTGGTAGATAATTATTTCTCAAGAAGAAGTATTTCCCATTTGGATTTGGAACCTGGAGGAAAATGCATTGTGGATGTAAATAGATTTAGCAAGTCGGATTGCGAATTGGGCTCCATTACGAAATTATCTAATAGACACATAATCAGCTCAAATGGTTTCGGTGCTATTTGCGACGTGCTGCTCCCCTTCTTTTTATCTTTTCTTATATTTCAGGAGTCAGCGAAGCAGCAGAGGACTACGTATGATTTATAAATTTGAGGTGAAGATGAACACCGTGGGATCAATATAATTATAGGAATATAAGGTATTCTATTAGACAGAATTTACGCCAAAGTGAAGGGATTTATAAGAAAGAAGTTATAAATTACAATACGATTCCACTAAAGAATAGAATATGTTTACGAGTAGTAAATAACAAATCAGGATAAAATCGTGTGATAGAAGACAGAGAACAGAGAATTAGGAAGAGGAAAGAATTTTAATGGCGGAGTCAAAGATGAAAAGGTCTGAAAAGATTATCTAGGCTTCGGAAAATTGTGTCTGATGGGTAGAACATCATGAAAACGGTGAGAAATGATTTTGAAACATATTTAAGTTTAAATCAGCGGAAACGATAGCATATTAGAGTCATATTAAATGAATTTCTTGAACTACTGGGTTGGCAAATAAATCCTTTCGGTTTTTCTGTTTATTTTTATGACAGTATGATACACTTTTTATCTGATGAATTAATCCCTAAGGTGGATTGTTTATCCTGCTTGTAATATGTCAACAACTCCATCTATTAACTCGTGTTGAAACTAATGGAAGAAAATATCATCCATTATTGGCATATTTTGTTGTATTATTTTGAAAAAAAGGTAAGCATGCTGCACACTCTCATAGAACAATTTGCAGTGTTTATGGAGATGACACCTTAACCGAACGCACCTGTCAAAATTGGTTTTCCGAATTTCATTCAGGAAATGTCCGCATCAATGCTGCTCAATGGTTTCGTCGCCCACATGAAATTCAAACGAGCAATGTTAAGGCCATTGTTAATCAAAAATCCCACCCAATAAGTTCGAGAAATTGCTGTCACACGAGAAATGTGTTGCACACGAACGTAGAAAACCATTTGCACAAGCTCGGCTGTTTCCAGTTTTGGTTAATGTTTGGGTCCCTAACATGATTTTTATTTGTTGAAAATTACGAAAAATGTTAAAACTTCAATACGACTTTAGCTATCTGCAAGAAATTTAGCAGGGATTTAGGGCATAAACTACACAAAATGACATCAACAGGACCTTCGTGAGCAAACTACAAATAGAGATAAAAAATAAAAACCTATAAGGAATTTATGTTTATTTATTCCTGATATAGGTATTAAATAAAAAAAAAAACATTCATACGGCTTTGAAGAACACTAATTCAGCTTTCTAATGGATGTAGTTACATCGAATTTGTTGAACATCCTCAAGAGTTATAAAAGGTGTAGTGTTCCACCAAGACAACCCTAGGCACCACACCTCACCGGTCACTCCCAATAAATTATTGAGCCTTTGATGGGACCTTATACAGCATCCTCTATATTCACCAGACCTAGTTCCAAGTGACTACCTCTTATTCCGGTGTCTGCAGAACTCCATGAATGGAAAGAAATTTCCAAAAGTAAGAGGACATCATAAACCCCTTGGATTAGTTTTTAAACAATAAACTACAGACATTCTACGAACATGGCATTATGCAGTTAGTGGAAAGATGGGGAAAAGTATTATTAAATAATGGTCAATGTATTGTAGATTAAAATAAATT